TTCCTGTACCTAAACAAAAACTTGGAGATGACGTCAGTAATAGGATCGGATGACTTGCGCAACTACTTCTTCATTTCTAGAACATGTCGTTCTACCTGACCGTTCAACGCTGGGTGATATGGTGGCGTCTTCTTACACCGGATACCGTTCTTTTCGCAGAACACTGCAAAGAGGGAGGAGGTGAATTGAGGACCATTGTGCGATACCATCATGAGCGGTATGCCCACATAGCTGACAAATCGACGCAAGCAGGATAGTGTTTCCTCGGTTGTTGCAGATTTACCAAGAACAAAGACATCAGCCCACTTGGAGAAAGTGTCTACAATCAACAAGAACTGCTGTCCTGCATATTACGCAGAGTCAATGTGATCTCCCTCAAATGCTCGATTAGGATAAAGCCAATGATGAATGGATGCTTTGTCAGGCATGCGACTCTGCTGTTGACACAATTGGCAACTGGCTGCTAAAGTGTCTATGTTACTGTCAAGGTGCATCCACCAAAAGAACGACCTGGCTACTGCTTTCATCCTAGAAACGCCTGCATGCTCAGTGTGTAATTCTTGCAACAGACTGGTGCGGAAGACAAGTGGAATGACAACACGCATGCCCCAGATAATGCAGCCTTGTTCTACTGACAATTGCTCTCGGATATGATAATGCGTCATGAATTCATCTGGCACTTGTGCCGGCCAACCATTCTTACAGTCCATTCAGAAAAAGATGGACTTCTAGCTTTTGGCCATAAATGGGTCAAACGTTGAGTTTTTTTAGAATTTTTTCTGCAATCCCCTAAGGAATCCTCTTCCAATTATGTTTCTGAAGTCTATTTGTCTAAAAAGCAAGCCATAACAAGAATAGGATATCGGCCAGGTTTTGCCCCAAAAGCATTGAATTGGGAAAAACAATCAAAATCCAGGCCGTTTGACCCCACCTGCAACAGTGCATTGTGGGGTTCGAACCCCAGTTCAGGTACCCTTTTTGGACTCTTTTTCAAAGTTCAAATTTCGCAGCACTACACTGTGTACAATGAAATCACGACAAATCGCCAAATACGGGAGCTCGCCAGAGCCAGGGCCCATCTTTTTATGAATGGACTGTAATAAAGCGGGTCACCTTACTCAGTACCGGGTCATCCTGGGTTGCGATCCGCAAGTCAGCGGAATATCGTGACATGGCTCACGGTTCACGGACTTGGTGTAGTTGTTCAGCTGCTTCTCCTGGACACTAGAGAGGTTTGCAGGCAAACGGGACACACAATCGGCAACAACATTATCCACACCATTATTATGTTGTATAGAATACTCCTATTGACTGCCCTTCGCTGGAGTCTGGTGGTGGTGATGGCTGGAAGTTGGTCATGTTTGCCAAAGATCTTCAGTAACAGCTGATGGGCAGTTCTTTACTTCAATGACCATGCACATACATTATAACACTGGTTAACTCAATCTGCTCCTGCAGCTCTCACTCTCTCCCATATTTGTAGAATTCAAAGTGATGTAAATTACTTTCCAACTGCATAACCCACAGCCCTTGTTGGCGATGGTGCCATCGTGAGAATAAAGAAAAAAAACACCGACCAACTTTCATTCCATGTATTTCTTCAGCTCCCACTGGAACCCGCCATGAGTATGATTTTCAGAGGTACTGAGCGATGATTATGGGATGCAATGACTCATATAATACTGTTTTGCTGCTATGTCGCTTTGGTAAGAACCCTGAGAACGCATACCTTGTTCAGTAGTAGATGCACATGTAGACCATCCTGCTCACGATCTCACGAGGACGTGTCCCATATACATTGCGTTGTGACTGCCCGAGCGGAGCATGCGTCTCGGGAGCGTGCTTCAGAACGCAACTTGTTTCATGGTGCAGTCCTGCCACTAGTCACTTCAGCTTTGAACGCATTTCAGCTTTCATCACCTCCGGTGATGCGCATATAATGTGTTTCAGAATGTTTGTGTTGGTGTTTGTTTTGCATATATTTGCTCACAGGTCCTCCTACACCAACGGTGACATCAACCGTTACTGCTACCAGCATTGATTTGAAATTCAAAGTGAACACAGGTGATTATAATCTGCATCAGGTTTGTTATTCCTACCAACTCATTGCAACATCTGGCCAGGGTCCACCAGGGATGACGAGTGCTGCACAATGTGTTACTTCAGTCTCTACAGGAACTGCTTCTAACACTATAGCTGTGGATCAGTCTTCTGGTCCGAAGCAGCACCTTGTGACTGTAACTGTGAACAGTTTGGACCAGGATACAGAGTACAAATTTACTGGACTACACGTCACGAATGGTCTTGGTGACATGTCTAACGAGGCGACGGAAGTAACGGATACAACAAGCACAGCAGGTGAGTTTCTATGGATGCATCTTTGGTAATGGCCCACTTAAGTCCTGCAATCATTTACGGGTCTGTTCCTAAGGGCATGTTCGATTGGTAGGATCGGGATCCCGATCCACCGGATCCACTGGATTCGCACCCTTTCGATTGGTCGAATCCGGATCCGGATCCTTCGGATTTGGATCCGGTCAACCCACCTCGGGGAGCAGAGTTGACCGGATCCAACGGATCCAAATGTGACCTTTGTGCGTATATGGCGGGTAAAAATCATTTTTGTACACATTGTGGTACGCACACGTGGATGGAGATAGAGCTTGTTGACTTTTTGTACAACGCACGCGATGAGTACGACGTTCACCCTTTTGGGTGCCTTGTGAGCGCCATTTTCAACATGGCAACAGTCAAGGTCCAAGATAAAGTGTTCAGTTGAATCTGAAGGATCCGAGGGATCTGAGATCTGGATTCCGATCCCGATCCTTACCAATCGAACATGCCCTAAGAATTTGGGGGAAAGAAGCCGTCTGCTTTGTATGAATAATCATGAAGGTCTAGAATACACAAACCATTGGTGCAACAACAAATGTGATCGTATAATTCTGTCTAACCCGTGTTGAAATTTATTTCTAATAATCATGACCATGGTTCTGCCCAGGATGAGTTTTGTGCCTAGATTGTATTGTAAGGTGTTAGCACAGTATCTGTTGCGGTGCGACTTGGTCCCGCAACTAACCATCGTCAGGCAGACCACAAAAACCCAGAAACTCCTTTAATCGAGTTTACCACTCGTTTCCAACAAGAACACCAAAGAACACTCCGAACAACGATCGCCAAATCGCTGTCCTGGGCAAAACGTGCAGCGTGCGTGCATTTGGCTTGCGCTGCATGCATGCACACAACGACGTGGCATATGCGCATAGAGAGAAAATGCAGCGTACAGAAAATGCATGATCATCGTAGCTATAGAGATACTAAATATGGCGACTGCCAAAGTCCGCGTGCAGCGCGGAGTGCAGGTGCATGCAACGAAAAGAAAAGCAATAATTTGAATGCAGAACAAGCAGAAACTAATAATTACTTGCAATGTGCTGAATTGAAAGAATAAAGAATTGTTGATTACGGAGGCGAAAACAGTGTCTGTCAAGGGGTGCTTGCACCCAGCGACAGGGTGACAGCACACCCTGTCAGCGAGAGTAAGTTTCGCCAAGTAGATCGTAGCGGAGTTGTCGCGGATGGCGATAATGCAACGGATCAAGTACTAGTAAGTACATGTACATTGCAACCAATTAGTGTGTCAACAATTCTACTTATATAATACATTAGAACAATTCACAAGATATTCCGCTCGTGAACATGTCGTGGTACGAACACGCATAGCAATTACTGTATCATAAAATGTGTCTCGACGTAGACGTAACAGATATGCACTCGTGATGTAATTCTAACAGACTAACAAATAAATATTACACTCGCGAAATACATAGCAGTAATACGCAACGCACCAGTATTGCAAGCGACCTAGCATGTCTTGACAATACTGCCCTTGCAGCATGTGACAGTTCTGTACACAATTCGTAACTACAATACACTAATAGTATCAACGTGCAACATATGACAACATGAAAGGATAATGTTCAAGAGCACAGTCTCCTGTCCATTCTCCCCACCTTGATGAACCGCGGGGGGCTTCAACACAACGGACATAGCTTAGCAATAGGCCGCACAAGGCTCTTACCGGTTGCTAGACGCAGCTTCACCACTCGTACATGGTTATCCTTGCCGGGATAGACATCCATTACTCTTGCTAACGGCCATTGCCCACGTGGTGTATCGTTAGATGCCACTACCACCACGTCGTTGACCTTGAGGTCTGGCAGCTCTTGCCTCCATTTCTTGGCCGGGTTGAGAAGAGGTACCCACTCTCTCATTCAGCTAGTCCACACTTGACCAATCAGATGCTGCACAGCGCGCCAGCGCCTGCGCGGGCTGAAGCTACTTTCGCTGCAAGCTGGTGCGAACTGACCACCGACTTGGCCGATGAGGAAGTGGTTTGGCGTCAATGGAATGTCGTCCGACGGGTGAGCTGACTGATACGTTAGGGGACGCGAGTTGAGCATGCTTTCAGCTGAGGCGAAGCACGTTGCTAGCTCTTCATCGGTGATATCTGCTCGGGTGAGTATGGCGTAGGCTGCTCTCTTGGCGCTCTTGACCATAGACTCATGAATTCCTCCGAAGTGAGGTGCTGCTGGTGGGTTAAAGTGCCAAGTCACTCCAATAGCAGACAACTTGTTGGCTACTCGCTGCTGGTTGACTTCGCCGACCAACTGTTGCAGCTCATTGACTGCGCCGACGAAGTTGGTGCCGTTATCCGAGATGATATCTGTAGGGGTTCCACGACGACTGACAAACCGACTCAAGCAGTTGAGAAATCCATCGGTGGTGAGGTCGTTCACCAGCTCGAGATGAACTGCTCGCGTAGCGGTGCAAGTAAAGACAGCCATGTACCGCTTTCACTGGGCTCGTCCTCGACCCTGCTTCGTGAAGAATGGTCCGCAGAAATCAACCGCGATTGTAGCGAACACACTCAATGACGGCTTCGTACGGTGACTCGGTAGAGGAGCCATGACCTGCTGCAGGGTCTTTGCCTTCTGCCGTCAACACGCTTGACACTGCTGCTCATACTCACGAATAGCTTCTCTGACCGAAACTATCCAAAACCGTTGGCTGAGCGCTGCCAAGGTCTGATTGGTTCCACCGAAGTGAAACAGGAGGACGTGTGCTTGTTTCACTATCAAAGTGGTTACTCTGCTCGAGCGGGGCAGAATGATCGGGCACCTGGCATCATCCGAAATATGCTCTGCATAGCGTAACCGACCACCACACCTCAGAATACCATCTTCGTCGAGCTGCGGCTGTAAGCTGCTGAGCACACTCTTAGGGGAGATAGGCTTTCCCCGCTGTAGAGCCCTGATTTCCTCTGGGAAGGCTGACTGCTGGCACTGACGTATGATGACATACTCGGCGCTGCGGATCTCATCTACGGACAGGGGGCCTGACACTCGCTCAGTGTTCAGGCGTCTTGCGTTGCTTGAGAAGCGATTGATCCAGGCAATGACCCGGGCCAGCTTCAGGAGGCTGCTGTAGCGCTCTGGATCCAATGCGGGTAAGGCGGCGATCGCCAGATAACTGAAATGAGCTATCTCAACTGCAGGCTTCTTCAGCTCTGCCGCCGCTGTTGCTGACAATGCCTTTCCTGGGGACGGTGTGTGTAACCCGGACATGTCTGGACCACACCACCAGAACTGGGAATCTGCGAGCTGACTTGCAGACATACCACACGTCAACAGGTCGGCTGGGTTGCGGGTAGTAGCTACATGCTTCCACTGGTCGGGATCACTTGCTGTCTGAATCGTGCCGACTCTGTGGGCAACGAACGGCTTGTACTTTCGGCTCTGTCCACGAATCCAGTAGAGGACATCAGCACTGTCAGACCAGAACGTGACAGTACTCATCGTGAGATCAAGCGGAGGTAGAAGAGACTTCACTAGCTGCAAACCAAGAACTGCGGCCATCAATTCCAGCCTCGGAATACTGTGGACAGCAAGCGGGGCGACTTTCATCTTCGACGCGACGAGACGCATTGAGTCGCTGCCATCGCTGAACTGCTGCCGGATGTAGACGACTGCGCCGAACGCCTTTTCGGAGGCATCCACAAACACTTCCACGCTGCTAGTTGCTGTTGTCGCTGCTGATTGTCGCAGGCACCTCGGAATTTGAACTCTTTTCAAATCCGGTAGCTCGGCGCACCACGCTTCAGCTGCACTGACGAGATCCTCTGGCAAGTCTGCATCCCAATCGAAGCCTTCGATCCACATGGATTGGAACAGGACTTTGGCTTGGACGATGTACGGGGCTAGAAAGCCGAGCGGATCAAATATGGTTGCCAGAATACGCAGAAACTGCCGCTTTGTCAGACGTGTGAAATCTGGCACCTTGTACTGAAATGTAAACATGTCGATCTCGGCCTGCCAGAGGACGCCGAGCGTCTTGATGTTTGGCAGCTGTTCGTCCGTGAGCTCCAGTTGACTTGCCCGATCAGCTTGTGGGATCTCAGCCAGAACCTCCGCCGAGTTAGAGAGCCACTTCCGCGCGTGCATGTTCGCTTGGCCCCAGAGATCCGACAAATCCGCGTATAATGACTTGGCTGCTGCAGCATCAGGTGCTGACGTCATGCTATCATCCATGTATGTGGAGTCCAGCACGACACTAGCGGCTTGCGGCATATCTGAGCTGAGCGATCTGGCATACTGCTGCGACACGTACTGCGCTAGGAATGGCGAGGCATTGACTCCGAACACCACGTGCAGAATTCGTAAACTTCCGGTGGCTTACTTGGGTCTGTGCGCCACAGAAATCGATGGTAGCGCCGGTCGTCTGGATTTAGGCTGATACGGAGGTACATCTGGGCAATATCGCAGACCAGTGCGATCGGCTCACGACGGAATCTAACCAGTACGTTCACCAGGTCTTGCTGTAATTTGGGGCCGGGCAAGATGAAGTCATTCAATGACTTGCCGTTCGACTTCGCTGCGGCGTCGAACACGATGCGTACTTTTGTTGTGGTCTTGTCCGGCTTGACTATCGGGAAGTGGGGCAAGTACCACGAGTTTCCGTTGTTGACGTCTGCGGTGTCAACCCGGCGCACATAGCCCTGGCTGATGTGTTCCGCTATCGTAGCGGCGTAGACTTCTCCGACTGCTGCGTCTCGCCTCAGCCGCTGCTCGGTGTTGGCCAACCGCTTCAGAGCAGTGTGGTAGCTAGCATTAGCTCCGGGCGGGTGATCCTTCCATGGAATGCCAACACTGTATTGGCTTCCAATGTGCTTGATCGACTTTGCGACCGTCTCCTGTGCATGTCGCTCATCTGGGATTAGAAGTGCCGCTCCATCTGCCGCGGGCTGACTGTCTACTTCCCAGAACTTCCTCACCAGCTGAGTGAGGTCGGCGTCTGACTGAGTCATCAGACAATGGTGCACGCTGGCCGATACCCGGGAGTCTCCCGCCGTTTGACTGATGGGACCCACACATGTCCAGCCGAGTGGTGTTCTCCGGGCACTTGGCTCACCTGGACCACCGATGACTTCTTCTAGCGATACATGCAGGCTGCTGTTGTCAATACCAATCAGAAGGTCAACTGTCGACCAATCACTGAGCTTCGGGAACTGGACATTCTCCAAGTGTGGCCAGCTCTTCTTGACAATCTCCCAGTCTACTGGTGTTAGCGACCGAGATACTGCTGGTACAGTGTTAGCACAGATGTCCACGCTTGTCTTGTTGGTCAAGTCAGACAGTGTGACAGTGACTGGCATACTCTGAAACGTTTCTTGGTGCCCATTCAGAGTAGACATTGTAATCTTCTTCGTCTCTCCGCGGAGACCAAGTGCACCTGCGGCACTTGCGCTGATCAGCGTCTGCGTCGTGCCGTCGTCCAGGAACGCGTTGACCCGTATGGTCCGCTCGTTGTTGCTCAACAACACTGGCACAGTACGCAGTGACCCTGGTGCTGCGCTGACGTTACTCGCTGACATAACGTTGCCGACGTTGTGCCTTGAAGGTCGCTCCCCTTCAGTGGTGCAATCCGGTTCGCTGTGTACCTTGTCGAACTTCGGTTAACGATGCAGCAACCAATTGTGGGTGTCGCTGCACTTATCCACACCGCATTGTCTGGTTCTGGGACACTGCGCTCCACAGTGACCTGACCCAAGGCATCGATAGCATAGCCTTTTCTCTTTTGCCAGGTCCCATCGTTCATCCATGGTCTTTGCCTTGAAAGACGGACATTTCCAGACGGGGTGCTGCTCGCTGCAAGCGGCACAGCTCTCGCTCTTCTTCTCTGCTAGGAAGACTCTTCCGGACGACTCTGCGTTTCTCGGTTTCCGGTCATTGAAACCACCACGTCGCTGTCTGCTGCTGGCAGTACTGGCGATGCCGTCAATGGTTTCCGATGCTGTAGCCATTATTTCGGCTTCTCGGTTCACCCAATCTAGAAGAGTCGTCACAGATTCATTGGCATTGGTCTCCTGCACCCAGCGATGATACTGGACGAGGTTTTCCGTTGCAAGCTTCTTCTGCATACGTGTATACAAAGTACCCGTACAGAGTTCACTGGTCCTGCCGGTATCCGTCATTTTTACCACCGCCACCTCTAGCAAATCTGCAAACTTCTCAAAGTCTGCTGCTCTGTTTTTTACTGCAGGGAAGTCCTCTAGTTCTTGCATATGGACGGCTACCAACCTCCGCTGTCCGCCATACCTCTTCTCAAGCCGTCTGCGTGCCGCACTATATGCTGATGGCGTGAAACCCAGGTTTTGTACGACCGCCAGAGCTTCGCCAGACAGGTACTGCCTAAGTTGCAGCATCTTCATTTCTGTTGAAGTTGCCTGCTGATCAATGGATACATCAAAAGCCGCCTTCCAAGCCTCGTATTCCCGTTTGTCGCCGGCAAACGTGGCAATAGAAACTTTCTTCATGTGCTTGTTGATGTCTGTCTGTGGCTGACTTGTTCGCAGATACTGTGGCTGTTGCACGTTCTGCGGCTGATATTGTGGCGTATACGTCGATGGCAGCTGTTGCTGCTGCGGTAGGTACTGTTGCGACGTGTACGTGTATGACGGCTGAGACTGCTGCTGTTGCGGAGTGTACGTGTATGACGGCTGGAACTGCTGCTGTTGCGGAGTGTACGTGTATGCTGCCTGGGACTGCTGCTGCGGTGCATGTTGTAAACCACCAGTTCTCAATTGGGAAAGGCCTTCGCGCTTATGGCATTGTATTCGTTGAAATGTTGTATTTCGACTCCGCCGTACCGCTAATGTTGCTGCATGGCATACGCTATATGCGTTGTGTGCGTTTTGCTGTATACGCTGTTATGTCCAGTTTTATATGCTTATGTTTTGCATGTACGCTGTTTCTGCATGCTATAAATAGCTGGTGTTATTAGTGTTCATTGTTAATTATCAGATGAAGTGAAATATACTGTGTAAAGGAAAAGAGTTGTCCTCGTGCCGTGTGGTCGTACGATCCTGACAATTTAGAGAATCTTAGAGGGTTCATAACATTTGGCGACCACGCCAGGAAAGGAGCGAGCATGGCAGAGCAACTACACAATTTGGAAGCCAGCTTTATCGCCAATGGAGTTCGGTTAGGATTAGAAGGCGAGTTGTTGATGGAACATGTGGAGCAGAGGCTCCAACAGTACGAGGAGCGTGAGGAGCGCAGTGCCAGACGGCGAGAGGAGGCGCTCCGCACCGAGTTTGACAAAACACTAAAGGAGATTAACGAGCGCATCGCCAATGCGTATGAGGGTGATAGTAAAGCCGCGATGGGAGGTACAGAGGAAGCTCCCAGTAACAGCGGGGGGCGTCAACCGTTGATGAAAATCCCCTCATATGATGGAACGCAGCCATTGGAGCGTTATCTTGACCTGTTCGAGGACATCTGCTCCAAGAACGAGTTCGAAGAAAGCGAATGGCTGCTGCGACTGCGCATCGCGCTAGCGGGTAGCAAAGCGGAGAGGATATGTATTGGATGCAATAATTACGAGGAAGCGAAGCGAGAGTTGCTCGCCTCGCTCGGAAAGACTCCGGATAAAGCGTGGAAGACATTGCTGACAGGCAAGCAGCGGTCAGATGAGTCGTTTCACCAATACGTTGTCCGTGTTTGCCGAGAAGTAGAAGTGTGGGCCACACTCGCTATGACAGAAGATGGCGAGGTGGACACCAAGTATAGCGCCGATATAGGTAAAATGTCCCCGGTGCTGCAAGCAATGGCAAAGCAGGTAATCTTGGAGCAATGCGGACCTGAGATGAAGACGTACCTGGTCGAACGGCAGTGCTACGGGATGTCACTGCGCCAGGTACAGGAGCACCGCGCGTCTTACCAGGTCGCGCACGGACGACAGGGTGATACTGCCAGGAAGCCAGTAGAACGATCCGTGCCAAGGCCCACGGCGTCGGCACAGTGCATGGCGATATCGGTCGCAGATGCAGAGAAGCAGCTAAAGTCGCTGCCACTGGAAGGGAGAAAGGGTTTTCTGCAGCGAGAGAGACTCTGCTGGAACTGCCTTAAGTATGGCCATATGGCCAGAGAATGTCGGTCAGGCTCGAGATGCACGAAATGCCAGAGGAAACACCACCTGCTAATACATGAGGTGTTGGATAGAGCAGGTAACAGCCGGGAGAAACCGACTGAGATAGTTACGGAGAAGAATGTTGGGTCGTGCTGTCTACACTCGACAAGTGTGCGGCTGATGACCGGAGTGGCACGAGTTGAGGGAAGAACTCGAAACGCGAAGGTTCGCGTGTTCCTGGACTCGGGTGCTGAGGCGTCATTCGTGACTGCAGCGTTGGTGTCAGCAATCGATGCAGAACACGTTGGGGTTGAAAATGTAGAGGTGAAGCCGTTCGGCGCGGAACCAACCCAACAGCGCATGGATAAGTACGCCATCACGATCCAGGGTAGCTCCGCTAGCATTCGGGTACGCGCGTTCGTGAAACCAACGCTTGAGATGGACCTGAAGTGCGCAAGTCCGCAGACCATTGCCCAGTGGCACAGTTGGGGAGTAGAGCTGAGTGACAAGCCTCAACAAGGGACATCAGACGAAATACATATGCTGATTGGTGCAGACTATATCAACGCGGTACTGCACAGCAAGAAGGAAGTTAATGGTGAGACGGTGTGGAACACAGAGATTGGTAATGTATTATCTGGTCCAGCGTCTGCACCAAGTCGAAACAGTCAGCCGGTGACCGTGTCATGTGTCACAGCCCACATTGAACAACTATGGCAGTTGGATGAACCTCCAGAACAACATCAGCACCTGCCATCTTTCCCGCTATGTCGCCAGGGCAGCGGGTACCAAGTGGGTCTCTTGTGGCGAAATGAGCGTCGCCCAACGGATAACTTTGCTCAAGCTAGAGTCATCGCAACGCGGCTTCTTGAAAAGCTGAAGAGGAATGGGAAGCGTGCGCTCTATGATGATGTGCTGATCAGGGAGTACCGCGAGCTTGGAGCAATTGAGCTGGAGCCATGTGAGAGCGATGCCGGGTACTATGTACCGCATCATGGTGTATTCCGCGAGCACGCTGCAACCACGAAGTTAAGAGTGGTGTTCAATGCCTCGGCGACGGCTCCAGATGGCAAGTCGTTGAACGACATGGTTGACCCTGGACCGTCGCTATTGCCGAGTCTCGCAGGTATGCTATTACGGTTCCGTGAATATAAGAGCGCGCTGCAAGCGGACATCCGCAAGGCTTTCTTCATGGTCGCGGTTAATCCCGAAGACCGTCCGTACCTGCGTTTCTTGTGGCCCGGTCGAAGCGACAGCGATGAACTGTTTACCTGGAGGCTAACGAAACTGCCATTTGGCGTAAACTGCTCGCCGTACATGCTTACTGCGGTGATTCAGCATCACTTGAAGGAGCTACGGGCGTTGTCTGCACCCAAAGAGCGAGATCGTATTGATCTCTTGCTCACGAGTTTCTACGTTGACGATTTGGTCTCTAGTGTGTCAAATGCCTCGGAAGCCAAGGAGATGCAAGAGTTCAGCGTGCGTGTGCTTACGGATGCTGGCATGGAGTTACGCAAGTGGCGAGGCAACGAAATCCCGTGCGATCCAGAGGCCGGAGATAAAGTCCTCGGTCTGAAATGGAAAACCATTGATGACTTGCTCAGCTTAGCAGCGCTAGGCGAGTCCGATAGGCCGTCTGTTTGGACCCGGCGATCCCTCCTCAAGTGTGTTGCATCAGTGTTTGATCCGCTAGGTCTAGCAGCACCGGCAGTTGTGCCGGGAAAGATACTGCTACAGCAAGCCTGGAAAGTCGGAGGCGACTGGGATGATATGTTGCCTGATGGCATCGCAGCCGCATGTGCGCAATGGTGGGGAGAGTTGGCCGAAGTGGTGAGCATTGACATACCACGTTGGATTTGCTGCAATCTTGACACGCCGATTGCGCTTCATGCCTTCGCCGATGCCAGTGAGAAAGCGTTTGGATGTTGTTTGTATGCAGTCGTCAATGGACAGTCGCACTTGGTATTTGCCAAGGCCAAAGTGTCACCTGTGTCTCCGCCCACGTTAGCCCGCCTTGAGTTACAAGCAGTATGTTTAGCGGCTCGCTACGCTGAGTTTGTGGTGAAGGAGCTGTGTGTTACCGTCACGCAAGTCTATGGCTGGACTGACAGTCTCACTACCGTTCATTGGATCAGTAATCCATCGTACAAATGGAAAACATTTGTGGCTAACCGCGTCAGTCAAGTCCAAGAGATATCGAAGAAGGTCGGCATTGTGTGGAACCATTGCCCGGGCCTTCACAACCCAGCAGATTTACCGTCGCATGGGAGTAGTGCACAGCAGATCCGTAGTCCGTTCTGGAGGGGCGGACCAACCTGGATCACGGAGCCCAATGACTGGCCCACCGCATCCTCAACCGCAGCTACAGATGAGTCCAGTGTAGAAGTACGAGTGTCAGCCACCACCTGTAGTCGAGAATCTGATAAGGAATGGTGGCTCCGATTCAGTAAATGGTCGAGGGCA